AATGCTCAAAAATGTAATGCCCCGACCACAATGTGGTGCAGGGGATAAAAAAAAAAACATTCGCCCGATTTATTACAAGTGGGTCTTATAGTTGGATATATTATTGCGCATCTCATTATGGTATGGTGTATTACACAAAATCTTTGCTTTATGCAAATAATATATACAAATGCTGGTAAAAACACCTGAAGATCGCCTGGGACAAATTTGATATATCCTTCACCAAGACGTAAGAAGACCTTAAATATGAAAGTATAGAGATTTCATATTGGAGCTACTTCTATTTGAAGTCGGTGAGTAAAAATCCTCAAAGTATTGTTAAGTTAATGGTAGAGTTATATAGAGGCTGTGCCAAAGCGAGAGGGAGCTATGGGAAAACATGGACCTATAGAGACGGTAGGATGTAGAACCCACGAGAAACCCTTAGAATCCAATTTAAAAAATCCATTAGAAAATGTTGGTTAAGTCATCCCAATATTGAATAATACCCCATTTTCGAATTTGACCTACCTGCAGACAAAAAACGTCTCAGTGCAATACGTCATATCCTCTACGAGCCACAAAAATATACTTTGGGGCTTTGTTTTAACATTCCTCGCTAGTTATAATCTTAAATAAAGTATAGTTTAATAAAATCCAATATAACATTTTCCTGATTTTTCAACAATAAATTTTAAAAAGCTAATTGGAGGTCATGAACGTAATAGCGAACCAGTCACCAAATTCGAGCAATGACGAACTAAATATATCCTCATTACATGCAGTTAGGGGTTATAAAAAATACCACCACAGTGCAATTAGATATTTAAAAAATATCTGATGGAATTCAATCATTTCCACCCAAGGGAGGAGAAAATATAAAAAACCCATCACAAATAAAATAGTTGATACTAATAAATCTTCTTAATGTTTATTTGAAGATTTTCGCTGCTCTCATATCGTAAATTGTGTGTAATAAAAAGTTATGCGATATTATTTAGAGAAAGAAAGAAAGGGTGCGTGCCGTCGCCGCCCGGGCAGCAATCCATTTAAGTTCCTCCTCGACACTTGTTCCTGTTGCTTGCTTGCTCTTTGGCTCCTTTTTTTCCTCCTGCTACCCCTGTCACGCAATGAAGCAACAATCCAGGAAAAAAAGCAATGACGTCGTCGAAGAAGAAGAAAAATCTGAACAATAAAACCCAAACAACGCTGGGCGTTGAGTTCGTCTGTCCCCACGTCTATTCATATCAGATGAGCAACAAAAATGTTTGCTCGCGTCTGGACGTTTAAGTACGTGACTGGAAAATGCATTTCCGTTGTTATGGCTGCAATGGTCGCAAGGCGTAACGAACGCCACCAGCAAAAGCAATAACAGCAGAAGAAGAAGCTATGGCAGTGGCGGCAGCAGCAGCATCAATTTTCTTAACTCAGGCGAAGCAACGTTGTAGCAATGGTGACTACCGAATGCAATGCAATTGAGGAAGTGCCGACTTCCGTTGTACTTAATGCTTCCACTTGTTTCTTGCTTGGATTGTTGCATTTGGCCAAACTGTAGCAAACGTAAAAAAGAAAGGAAAAAACACCAACAACGGCAACAGAAAATCACATCATATCAGAAGTGACAGTTTGGATTTGCCAACAGCGGGAGAAGCTAGAGAGATGGACATTGGTAGCTGGAAATTGCACCAGCACTTGCCTGAACTGAAACAATAAGCAAAGATCCAACTCTTGTTAGTAACATCATCGTCATCATCTTCATCCTCATGCTCGTGACAATCATGATCGTTCATTCGACCAGCCAGCCACGCATCCTTTTCCCATTGAATTGCCTTCAAATACTGCAGCTGCATTCATTTGTCCATTTTTGATTGGAAATGCTTTGCTTTGGCCCACTTTCAAGTGGACCTCCTTCCATCCCGTCAATACACAAAGTGCTGCTAAACCAATTGTTTTCCCTTTGGCTTTAGCCTGGCATTCTGTTTTGAATGGTCAACGGTAGAGTCGAAGATGTTCGCATGTGTGTGTGTGTGCGTGTATGCGTCTCGACTAATTTGCTCTATTCGGTTGTAACTAATTGGAATATTCAGTCTTGGCCAAGTGTTTCATGGTCTACGTCCAACATCAATACCCATTAAATCTTTTGTGACGCATGTGTTTGAGAATTTTTCCAAGTCAATATTTGTTTGGCAATATTGCCTGAATGATTTATTGGCTTGGAATTATGGATAACTTTGGAGTATGTGTCATATTTCTAATGAGATATAGTTTTTGCAGGATCCATAGAAATTTCGATTTTTTTATTTTTATAATGTTTTATTTACGTTGATATAAATGTTTACAGGAATTTATTACGTATACAACTTAATTATGCTAATTTTTACACCCTGCACCAGGTATGGTATGTTAATATTATCATGCGCTTTGTAATTCCTCTAAAATTCTTTCAGAGACTCTATTGATGTTCGTAGGATTATGTACTATGCCTCGACGGAGGTTATTACCGACAACTCCATTACTAGATAAGCAACAATTTGTATTACGTGTCGAATGAACGCGTATGCCAGTCCATGTCAAATATTCGGTATTTGGAGGACTTTAGCGACATTTTTTTACCGAAATTGTACTTGGTAGTACAGCCTATAACAAAAAATCGCGTACAGCGATTCACCGGGATTGTTTCAAATTTCATATTTGAAGCACGAAATCGATACTACAGCCTATGAAACAAAATTTTTATGATGGACCAGGTCTTCGTATGGCCCCCATATAAGCGGTTTCATTTGAGAAATATTTTTATACCCTCAGCCATATGGCTAGAGAGGGCATATATCATTTGATACGTCCAAAACGTTCCATAATGAAATAATGGTTTCAGACCCTAGGTATCTTTGGACCAAATCCATTTCAGAACATTTGGAATCGATCTAGCAATGTCCATCAGTCCCTTCGTCTGTCTGGCTGGCTGATGCGCACGATAACTCTCGAAGGGATTATCCGATTTGGTCCAAACTTGGTACATCGAAATATTTTTATCAAACTTATATCGAGTTCGAAGATGGGCAACATCGGCACACATCTTCTACAGCCTCCTCCCCACAAAAGGTCGAAATTTTCAAAAAAAAAAGTATTTTACTGCACAGAAAGTAAAAGGATAATCAAGTTTTGCTCCAACTTTGTAAATCCTAGTATTTGCATTAGTACCTCCCTCACCTCCCTCCATTAAGTACCACCACCACAAAAGGTTAAAATTTGAAGTTAGTGTCTGATTGCCTTTAAATTGCACAGATCACAATATTTTTCTTTTAACTCAAACTCTGGTGTGAGGATATCAATCCCCTCCATCAAGTACCTCCCCCACAAAGAGTCAAACTTTTGAATATCCATGAAGCTCATAAAACACGAAATTAACATTCTTTCTAGTATCTACCCCACAAAAGACCCAAAGTTTGAATAACCAAAATGATTACAAAATTCGAAATAAGCATCCGGTTCTCTTCAAATAACACACATTAAATAACACACTCAAAAAGTGGAGCCTTCCCTAAAAAATTGGACTTGTGAAAGGTTCTGAGGTTCTGTATGTGGAATCCATACGATAAGCAGGCCCATTGTGTCTTTTTGGAATTTTTTAATATCTTCAAATTCCTAGAAATTGGTCCGAATAGGTAAATTGTCCAATTGTTATACCCTCCACCATACTATGGAGGGTATATTAACTTTGCCATTCCGTTTGTAACTCCTCGAAATACTCATGTCAGACCCAACAAAGTATACATATTCTTGACCAGCGTGAAATTCTAAGTCGATTTAGCGATGTCCCTTGGTCTGTCTATCTGCATGTCCGTCTGTCTGTTGTAATCTCGCTATCTTTCGAACGAATTGAGATAGAAGGCTAAAATTTTGCAAACATGTTTATTTTGCCAATAGGCAGGTCAAGTTCGTAAATGGGTCATGTAGGCCCACGTTTTCATATAGCCCCCATATAATGGTATCTCCCGATATCCGGTAGTTTGATGATTTTAGCGACATTATTCACATTCGTCATGGATACTACAGCCTAAGACAGAAAATTGTCTGTGCTGGTCCACGTCTTCGTATAGCCCCAATATAGAGGTACTTCCCGATATTCGGTATTTTGATGATTTTATCGTCATTATTCGACGGAATCGTCAAATTTGGCATTTGAAGTTCATAATGGATACTACAACCTAAGACAGAAAATTGTCTGTGGAGGTCCACGTCTTCATATAGCCCCCTTATGAAGGTACCTCCCGATATTCGGTATTTTGATGATTTTAGCGACATTATTCACCGGAATTGTTTCAAATTTGGTATTTGAAGTTCGTAATGGGTACTACATCCTGTGAAAGAAAATTGCCTATGAAGGTCCAGGCCTTCGTATAGCCCCGATATAACGGTACATCCCAATATTCGGAATTTTATTGATTTTATCGTCATTATTCACCGGAGTAGTTTCAAATTACGTATTTAGAATTCGTAATGGGAACTACAGTCTGTGACAGAAAATTGTCTATGTAGGTCCAGGTCTTCGTATAGGCCCCATATATCAGTACCTCCCTATATTCGGTATTTTGACGATTTTAGGTACAATACTCACAGAAATAGTTTGAAATGTCGTATTTGAAGTTCGTAATGGATGCTACAGCCTGTGACAGAAAATTGTCTATGCAGGTCCAGGTCTTCGTATAGCTCCGATATAATGGTACCTCCATATGATTTTAGCTAAATTATTCACCGTTTATTTCAAGTTTCGAATTTGAATATGGTAATGGCTTATAACAAACAATGTCTATGTAGGTCCAAGTCGTATAGACTCAAATATAATGGCAATATTCGATATTTTTAAGATTTTAACAGAATTTTAGCGGATTTTATTTTTGAAAATTTCCAAATTCGTTCCAAATGTTTTTTGTGTTGCACCGTGTTATTATCCTTTTAAATCCCTAAATGAATTTTTATGAATTTTATGCGAGTCATGATTAGTTGAGTCCTTAAAAATTGTTTACAATTCACTTTTTCATTAACTTAACAACAAATCAATAAATAAATATATTTACATAAATTTAACAAAAATAATTCAACAAAACTACACCATTTCCAATTCGCGATAAAATCTAAAATGTTGCGTCGGCGCTTCACGTCGACAGGGATTCATTGTCAGCTCCAATTCTACCGTTATCTCCACACAAAGTCTGGTCAAGAAATTCTTTAACTGTAAACCGGAACGAAGCCATTTTTGTTGCCTCAGTCCGGAACATTCAGCCAAAGCTAGTATTAGTTTAAAATTACCACCTCTTCGTAGGCTCAAGCAGAGTCCCTTATCCGATTGTAGTTGCCTTGAGGATTTCATCAAAAACCATTTGGTTATGTTTGCCATGGAACAAGGTGACATTATGACGATGGGGCCTCCCAGCTGATTCTCATCATGATGTAGACAGTGATCACTTGGCGTGGATATTGTGCCATAGGCAGTGAAATTATTTCCTATTCTTAAAATTGAAGTAAAAAATTGATTTCAGTTTTCAATAAATTATTGAGTATTAGTCATTACCTTAATTCTGGAAACACATTATCTAAATACCACTCGAAAGAACGACACTGCAGGGAGTCCTTGAAATCCCTTATTTCACTACGAGAAATATTTAAAACAATATTTCGAGCTTCGGGTTTACGATTATAAAAATTATACTTATAGTGATCTAGCCAAGTTTCGGCAATGATTTTGGAATTTCTAAAAATAAAATTTTTTAAATATTTTATTTAAAACAGATATTTAGAAAAATCCTTACTCACCTCAAATAAATACCCTGGCCATCATTGTCGGGAAATTTAAAAATATGCTCCTTACGGAAAATATGACCCACTCTGCTGCATGGCACAATAAGGATTTCACCACCACATAGCCACAGTTTCAAAGAAAACTCCAAGGACTCACCACCCCAAACCTAAAGTGGCCATTAAAACCGAAGCGAATGAAAAAAGCCGAAAAACAACAAAAGAAAATTATGAAAATTAAACAAACACTACAAATCAAAAGAATTGAGATAAAAATATTAAATAAAGAAAGAAACACACACAGAAACACAACAACCTCCACCCCCAACCCAAAAACACAGACAGATGCGCTCGACTCGGCTCGGCTCATTCATTCTCAGCTCTTTACTTTTTTAACTAAAAGGTCCTTGATGTGGCTTGTTGAAATTAAGTTTGGTTACTATTTCACTTCATTCTACATTCCACAGTTCGCTCACAAAGCACCTCCCCTACCCCTACCCCATCCCCCGGAAACCATAAGCCCCAAAAGCAGCAAACTGAAGTTAAAGTGCAATGTAAACACAAATTCCATCAATCTCGACCAATTCAATACTCAAAAAGTCTTTTCATTTATCGGCCTAAAATACACACAGGCCTACACTATTTCACGACACACTGACACACCGTCATCGCCCGACATATCATAATGTAACGAGGGAAAAAAGATATTCCGTTTCACCTCTACGGAAAACACCATTCCATGGTCGTGGACATGAATTCACATAACAGGTTTTCCGTTTTTTGGCCCAACCAAACTCGAATGGCAACCAAAACAACAACAAAAATGTTGCCAAAACCAAACTGACTTCGAAAAATATGCCAAACTAAAAAACAAAGCAAACAAACAAACTACGATTGGAAAGCTTAGACAAAAAATGCTCAAAGTAAAAAAGTATCAAAATATGTACATATTTTGTTGCCTCTCTGCCTGCCTGGCTGCATGCCTTCCTTCGTAGATACCTGGCCATAACTATTGCGTATTTTGAAATGAAAATGAATTAATACAGTGCATTGGATGAAGAATGATCGGCAGAGCGATTACTAGGAATTTTAAGATATTAGCAAATAAAAAAAGCACCTAAGTTCGGCCGGGCCGAACTCTTGCTTAATACCGTTTGACAGGAACTTAAAAAATCGACAGAAAATTACGTTTAAATGAAAACCGTTATATGGGGGCTACACGAAGACGAGGACCTGCAAAGGACATTTTTTGTCACAAGCTGTTACCGATTAGGGCCTTCAAATACGAAATTTAAAACAATTCCGTTGAATTATGTAGCTAATATAATTATAATACCTAAAAAGGGAGGTACCCTTCCCGAAAAAGGGAGTTACGTTTAGGGGTATACGAAGACGTGGATGTCTTTAATAATCTAAAAATACCGACTAAGATGAGGTACCGTTATATAGGGGCCTGCAGAAGTAATTTTTCGTCATAGGTTATAGTACCATTAGGACCTTCAAATACGAAATTTAAAACAATTCGGCTTGAATAATAATGAAGACGTGGGCCTATATAGACAATTTTCTGCCATATGTTAAAGTATCGATTAAGATCCTCCAATACGAAATTCGAAACAATTCCGGTTTATAGCGTCGCTAAAATCATCAAATACCGAATATTGATCTGTTATATGGGGGCTATACCAAAAATTGGAGCGAAATGACATTTACGAACTTAAACTGCCTACTGGCAAAATACACATATGTGCAAAATTTTAGCCTTCTAAGAAGAAGACAGGCGAACATTGCCGAAACAACTTAGAATTTTACGCTGATCAAGAATATATATATTTTTTTTGGGTCTGACATAAGTATTTCGAGGAGTTAAAATGGAATGATAAAGTTAATATACCCGCCATAGTATAGTGGAGGGTATAAAAATGAACAAAAAGGCACAATGAGCTCGCTTATTGGGTGGATTCCACATTAAGAATCGTAGACAGGCGCAATTTTTGTGGTAGGCTCCACTTTTTGAGAAGAAACATTGAAAAACACTGGTTTTGGTCTCCGTAGGATCCATATATCCCTTTTAGTATAGGTTGCATACAGTGGGCCCAAAAAGAGTCAATAGGTCATCATAGCTTATCATTTCTTAAGAAAGTCATAATTTTACAGATTATGGATAAGTCATTCTAGGTTTCCATTTTAGAGCAGGCCTCACACCAAAAATAAGAAAATAAATCATCATATGTCCACGTTTCGAAGTAGACTCCCTATGGAGAACCAACAAAAGATAGTCAACGTAAGTTCATGTTTTGAAAGCATAGTAGTCCATTTTCTCGATCTAGATTCCATTCAATGGACCTACAAGGGATCAATAACTCAACGTAGGTTCTTATTTTCGAGTAATTTTAATAAAAACATGTTAGACAATCAGTTTTTTTCAGAAATTTTCAAACGGGTCTTCGAATACCATATCCCATTAAATCTATTGATCGGCTATGTACCATCCAATAAACCTAAGTAGGTTATTCTTTTTGACCAATTTTCATAAAACAAGTTAGAAATTGTCGATTGGGTTTTCGGCATGCCCGATTTTGAGGACGTATCATAAGGATTAGACCTACATTATGTCTGTAAATGCCGAATTTCTAGTATTTGAGGGTATGCGTTACTTCTGTTATTAGGAACATCCAATGCAAATTTTAAACAATTCTGTAAACAATTTGGCTTCAGTCATCAAAATACAAAATATCGGAAGGATATGGGCTATAGAAGAACTTTAACTTATACATAAATTGTTCAATATAAGCAGAATAACCCATTACCAAATTTTAAGTAATCCTGTAAAAAAATTTCGCTCAAATCCTCAAAATACCGAATTTTCGTGAAGTACCTTTGGAAAGTGTGAATAAAATCGTAAAAATATCGAATATCGAGAGATATCTTTATTAGGGGGCTATAGAAAAACGAGGACATATATGGATAATATTATGCCACATTAGGTAGATCTCAATACAAACTCTAAAACCACATTTCAAATATGTATATATGGGGACAATACGAAAAGGTGAATCTATAAAGACAAAGTTCTGCCACAGGAGGTAGACCATAATATAAACGCTAAATACAGAATTTTAAACTATTACGTAAGAAAGTGTGTCAAAAATAGTGAAAATACCGAATATGGAGAGGTACAATTATGTGGGGTTGACCGATATAGCTCATCTTCGAACTTGATCTGACTGCAAAAGACAACTTCACGCAAAATTTTAGGTTCCTGTCACATGCCGTTTGGACTCTAGAGTGATTACAACAGTCGCACAGACGGACGGACATGGCTAAATCGACTTAGAATATATATAGAATTATCAAGAACATATATACTTTGTTGGGTCTAAAACTATTATTTCGATATATCCAATCTTCACAGCAAATTTTGTATTAGTAGAAATAATGGGATGTGTGAAATATGAAGAGAACCGGATGCTTATTTCGGTTTTAATAATCGTTTTTGTTAATTAAAATTTTGACACTTTGTGGAGGAAGTACCAGAAGGAATTGTTCGATCTCTACCATATTTTTAACAGATATTGTGTTGATAAATAATTGAGATGTGCCAAGTCCGAATGGAGTCGGATGTTAATTTCTCGTTTTATATGTCTAATGGTTATTCAAAATGTTGACCCTTTGTAGGGGAGGTACCAGCAGGGGTGGACCGATGTGATGTGTGTAATTTGAAGACAAACGGAATCTTACATCACATTTTATAAGATTTATAATTATTCAAAACATTGACCCTTTGTGGGGCAGGTATTTGATGAAGTGAACCGATTTTGTCTATTTTCGCACCTGACCTAGCACTGATAGACATATTAGGATTTGCAAAGTTGGAGCAAAACCGGATTATCCCTTCTCTTTTTGTACAGTAAAGCATTTCTTGAAAATTTCGATCTTTGGTGAGGTAGTTACCAGAAGGAGTGGACCGATATGGTCCATCTCCGAACTCGATCTAAGTTTGACAATAATATTACTATGTACCAAATTTGTTTGAGCTCGCACTTCAATAACAAAACAAATAATGTCAGCACAATTCCAGATTTAATCATCCATATCAGAGATAGAAAAAAGAAGGTCAACATATCCAGGATCAGTGCTACACATCAGCTATTTTAGTCAAAATAGGTGCATTTTTTTTGAATTCCCCAATTAAGAGAGAAAAAGCAAAATCGGCTGGGTTTGCTACATAAAAAAACGGTCCTAACTTCGATTTTATTACATAGCCAACACATCCTTTCTATGAATAGATTTATATTAAACCTATTAAGTATGATTAAACAAGGGTTATGTATATCTATATGGGTCTGCCAACAGCAGGTATATATAAATTCACTTTGAAAAATTCGCTTTTACTTTCCACTAAAATCGACTGTATTTACATCTCCGGCACCCATCAATAATCCGAATAAACAGAAACAGAAATACAACTTCACCCACCCAATTTCAACTACAACAAAATGCCAACCTCCAATATAACCACCCACTTCCACTCTCACACCCAATCACCAATACACTTACTAAGTTACAAACACACAAATAAAGTACGGTTTGTTTACAAAACATTTACCAACCTCCAGACGAGTGTTAAAAGCTTTCAATTTAAAAAACCAATTTCGTGAAATCAGAAATACGCCGCCAGCAAAGGTAGGAGATCTGAAATAACAGACCAACAACGAAAATCGAGATGATGAGTACTGCTGAGTTCCAGGTGACCAATACAAAAACACACACAAAAAGGAAGTAACAAAAAATACACAGCAACACACAAACACTCTCAAAACGGTCATCATAGCCGAACATTCAAATATTTGAATTATGAACGTGGCTACAGAAATATCTGCATATTTTCTAAAAACACAGCCGCTTTTGAGAATCTAAAAAAAAAAAAAAAAAAAACAGAGAGAAACAAACAAACGAACTCGAATTCAAATCCTTGGAATGAAACGGCCGGGATGCAGACAGAAGGGAATGACAGAACTAAACTCGAACTCAACCACTCACCTAAAAGTTGTAAAAGGATTTAAAATGTTATCTCTCGCAATCCAATGGAAATGCAAATTCCAATCAAAACCACCTTTTATGGATGCCTCGGTGGTTTTGTATTCACCCGTCTCCGCATCGATATTATCCAGCATCGGACTAACAGCCATTTTATGGCCACTGCCGGGCGAAGACAACAGAACGTGCAACAGCGATTCGAGCCATTGTTGATTCACTTCACAGTGACTGTCCATAAACATCAAATAGTTGCCACGCGCCATTAGGGCGCCCATGTTGCGAGATTTGATTAGGCCCCAACGCTGCCGATGACGCTGTATTCGCAGAAGAGTGCGATTGTTGAATGGTGGGCAGGTGATTTCTATGAGCGATTTAAATGTCGAATCTGTAAATTGCAAAAGTTTTTGAAAAGAGAGAAATATGGGGGGCGAATTAGTTGAAGATGAACTTTTTTTTTGGCAAAAATGAAAGCAATTTTTTGGTTTATGGCCTGGAAGTGGAAGGTAATGAATTATGGTAGGGTGGTTAATCAAAGGCGCTCTAATGGAATTAGCTAATCAAATTAGACGAGAGATGAGTTCTTAATCAGCCGACTTACCATCTTCGCTATAGTCATCAATTATAATAATCTCCTGGAGATATTGAGACGGCGTCCGCCTATAAATCGAATAGATTGTCGTCAGCAGTGTCGACAGAGATTCATTGTGATAGGTAATTATTATGGAGACTTTTATTTCTTCATCGGCCTCGGATAAGCTGTTGAAGGTTCGTGGACATCTGAAATGTATCAAAACAAAGAAATTTTTTTTGTTGAACCAATATTAACTACAGGGTGAGATAAAAAATCTGCAAAAAGTCAAACGCCATAATTTTTAAATTTTTTTTTTTTTTAATTTTTTGAATAAGCAAAAAATGTCGAAAATAGCATCAAATTTTAGAACAAGTTTAGATTTGTTCGAATTGGTCACCTCTGACACGAATTATGGCCTACAAACCACCAATGATACCGTCGGCTTGAATGTTATTCTGCAGTATTTTAGCCCATTCCCGACGAAGCGCTTGCTTGAGGTGATAGTGCTGAGTGCGACGGTGCTGAGTCCTGTTTGAATGTCCAAGGTCTGCGGCCAAAATGTTTGTGTGCCCAAGGCTTTAATACACCCTTCAGAATATTTTCGCGATAATGTTCGGCATTTATACTGATGTCACTGTCGATTAGGCTGTTATGGCGGCCCACACCATTACCTTGGCCGGTGCTTGAGTTCTGGTGGCAAACCTAAGGTGCACATTTTAAGCTGCTGACCTCTTTGGCAAGTACACACGATCGTTTTGTTTGTTTGCTACCAGGTAATGAGCGATGGTACGAGACACAAAAGATTTATTCACATTTAAATGCTGGAGTGCTCTAACGATAGCCACTTGTGGTTTTCCAGCCAAATATAAAGAAATCACACTATCACGCTTGACATCCATCACGAATAACTTTTTTTCTGGAAAATTCTCACCAAAATGCTTTTGTACCCTTGTAAACAATATAATGAGCTGGCAATGGAATAATTTTAACAGCTGCCGGGCGAGTGGCTTAGAAATGACAGTTGGTCTGAAGTTGGTTACAGTTTTTTCATCTCACCCTGTACACTATGTTCCAACACCGGAGCTAGAACCGATTACGAACTATAAATGACAATTTTTGGACAAATCCGTAGAGAAATGGGGCAAAAATTATTAAAATACCGAATATCGAGAGGCACCGTTATATGACGGCTATATCAAAACGTGGGCCGATATATCTCATTTTCAATACCAAACATCCTAGACACAATACAAATTGTTTTGCCACATTTTGAAGCTCTACGTCAAATATGGGCTGTATCGTGATTTTAACAGACAGACGGACATCGTTAAATCGACTTAGAAATTTATGCTGATCATGAATACATATACTTTATGGGGTCTACGACAAATATTTGGGGATATTACAAGTATCAGTTGTAGATTAGATGAGGAAATGGACGAAATCCCATAAAGGTTCAAAAAGCGGATAAACATCACAAATCGGTTATTTTTCTCAAACTGCATTTATCAACCAACCTGCATTTATCCTTTACCCCTGATTTTTTGTTTTTCGAAGATAAACGGTAATAAAATTTCTTCGGCTATATTTTCATTAGACTATGCTTAGATCGTGTGTTGAGAATATTGTACCAATCCTTCTTGTGCCTCTCCAATAAATTAAAAAAAAACAATTGAGTTATATTTCTCGTGGTATGTGAACTCGTAGTCCGATTTTCTTCAAACTTCCTAATAATCTGACCTACATTGGCTCAAGTGTTAAAATTGAACATATCTCCCCAATCTTTCTTTCTGTATTGGTATTGTGGGGGAGGTACCCCACAATAATTTGAATAATAAAGTGTAGTTGTCTCATTATTAGAACTAGCGTGGAAATGAAAAAATTTTTTTCAAAGTTCGAACAAGGATATATCACCTAATTGTATTATATTATGACTGACCAATCATATATTATTAACACCTGAAAATGATTTTCATTAAATTAGTAGAAGGTAAATTCATTGGATAGTGTGGGCTAAATTAAAAAAAAAAAACAAACAAACAAGCTGTGAGTTCACCCGGGCCAACCTTTGAATACACTCCGTCATTTGGAACAAATTTGAAATTTTCAAAAAAAAATCATTTAAAAATATTGTTTAAATCTTAAAAATACGGAATATAGGAAGTCGCCGTTCGGGTCGGGATATACATAGGCTATTTTGTTATAGGCCATTACAATATACTAATACGAAACTTGAAAACAATAAGGTGAATAATGAGCTAAAATCATCAAAATTCCGAATATATGGAGGTACCGATATGTGAGGCTATACAAACGCCTGAATCTGCATAGACAATTTTCTGTCATAGGCTGTAGTATAAACTACGAACTCTAAACATGACTTTTGAAACAGTTCTGGTGAATAATGTAGCTAAAATCATCAAAATACCGAATATATGGAGGCACCGACATATGGGGGCTATACGAAGACGTTAGCCTGCATACGCAATTTTTCTCTTAGGCTGTAGTACCCATTACGAACTCTAAACACGACATTTGAAACAAATTCCGGTCAATAATGATCCTAAAATCACAAAATATTGAACATCGGGGGTACCGTTGTATGGGGGCTATACAATATCGTGGACCTATATAGACAATTCTCTCCCTGAGCGTAAATTACTTAGAAGGAAGTAATTGTGTGGATTTTCAGACAAATGCATTGAACAGTTTAGATACAATCATCAAAATATCGAATATCGGGTGTACCGAACGTGACCTGCCTGCGGACAAAAGACAGATCTGTGCAAAAAGTTGTTTCCTATCTTAATTCGATTTTACTCTGGCGTGATTACAAAAGACGGATATCTTAGAATTGTACCCTGATCAAGAATATATACCCTGTGAGGTCTAAACGGAATGACGAACTTAATATACCCTCCATGCTATGTATGGTGGAGGACATAAAAAAACATTGCGAGGGGTCAGTAGCATTGGATTTTCTGAATTTTCAGAAGGCAATCAAGATTCTAATCAAATTATATATCTTATTAGATTTGAAATACGATTTTAATATAGAATCGTGGAACTATTAATCAATGTGATAGAACTAATATTTTAGTAAACTTTATTATTGGGGTTTGACTTTGTTTCATTAAGGGACTTATAAAAATAGAGGTGTTCTAAGGCCCAAGTCATATATTTTTTTGTCTACAATAATACAAAATTGCCGACATTTTCCTTTTTTTTTTTTTTTTTTTTTTTTTTTTTGGTAAATTTATTTTTTCTCAAAAAGGTTTAGCTGATTTTTCTGAAATCTTGTTGCACTTTTAAATGACTAGTTTCGAATGCAAATGCAGACATTTTCTGCTTAAAATTTAACGATAAATTTTAGAATAAAAAATTTGAAAAAAATAGTACTTTATTCAGTGGAATATAGCATTCTGCACCCAATCTATTTGTATCACAAACATTAAAACACTGTTTAAATATCAAACCTTAATTATTTTCATATATTCCATAAATACGTTCTTAATTATTTTTCCACTTTAATTTTTAATCAAACTACACTACAAAATAGTACTTGCCGCTTGTTGTCACAAGTGTTGTCTTGATCTATTACTCATTTTTTTAAATAATTGGACTTTATCTTTATTGTATAGTTCAAAGCATTTCATTTCTCTCCACTTGACGAAAATATCTTTTTCTGTTGCCCATCGAGATAAACCTCAGCGTTTAGTTATTATTAAACTTTAAAAAAATATTTCTTTCCCCGTGCTGTGATTTTAGTCATGCTTACCTACGGTCACGGCTATCTGGTATCTGACGTAATATTCGACTGCGGTCGATATAACTTATCTTTTCGAAATCGGGTTCACACTCGTGCCAACTCTCGCCGTTGTCTATCTAAATTGTGATAGAATTTTTAAGTTAATTTCTCACCACAGAACGTCATAAATTATTATAATTTTAGAAAAAATATTTACTTGCAACAATAAAAATGTACAAAAACTAAAAAATGTTATGAAGATGATGGCAAATACGACAGTTAGATATGTAGGAAAACATTTCATTTCACTCCACTACTGCAGACACACCACGCCACGCTACTCCGTCGCCAAGTAAATCAAAACTAATTTTCAAAACACCTGACAGCATAATTAGGAACCCCCCGAAAAAAAAGAAACGAACGCTACAATGAAAATCAAACAATGTGACGCTGATACTGTTGTCTTCAATATTATCAAAATGTTTGCCTAACAAATATTTCTATATATGAATATGTCCACACAAAACTAAAGCAGATTCATAAATCAGCAACAACAACAACACCAATGTGAGTAACAGTAGCAATACTGGAAAATGTTATTGTTTATCAACTTATCATGATTAGCGGCTGCGACAATCAGCCAATACAAAGCAGAAGAAGAAGTAACAACAGCGGCGGTCACACCAAAAAAATTCTACTTGACATTGATTGCTGCACAGCTACTTATACTGGAGCCCATACCCTCATGCATACACCCCGATACTCGCTCACAACACAAATAAGTCACCCATCCATCCAGACGTCCATCATGGGAAGCCATTGCATTTACTCACTTTGCCGCTCGCTCACTTCTCACAGCTGATATTGATGGGAAACATTTTTCATTCATAAGACCGAACCCAACAGAAGAGAATAGAACAGAACAGAACAAAACGTACAACAAACAAACAAACAAAGAGGAAGAGCAGGTGAGCACACAGCAGTGAGCATTCTACCACAGACAATGACAACAAGGTGTTAATTTTTCTTGGCGATTACTTCAAGAGACCCATGAAGAGGCTTAGCGCACAGTGTTCCGTAACGAAGAGTTGCCGTTATTTACATTGGTTAAGTGATTGTTAAATTGGGGTCTAGTTTAAGAATTTGGATGAGGTTTGAATTTGTTTCGGATTAAAGTAATAGGCCTTTTTTGGAAATTCAAAATAAAGGTCTACTTAAAGTAAAATTTAAATTTTAAGTAAAAAAGTAAAGAAAAATCAAAAGTCGGGACCGATTATATGATACCCTACACCACAATGCATATTTAATAGAGCTCCCGCAAAGAAAGGAATTTATTTAAAATAGATCTTACCACCTATCAACATTTGGTTTTAGAGCTTTTATAGTTCGGTTTCAGAGGGAACTAATATACGTTCCTGAATTTCGTCCCGAAATTCACTCAATTTGGGCTGATATTAGCCATTATTTGCACAATAAAATTTGGCAAAGGTATTTCCGAGCTCTATAAGATATCTGGTAAAAAATATCATTGTTGTCGAATGCATATTACGAATTTGAGGGACTTAAACACAAAATCCGATGAAACATATATATGGGAGCTGTAGCTATATCTTAATGGAAGTTCTGCAAATTTGCCGTACTTGCTTCTAGACTATATTTGCTCGGATGTACCAAAATCAAGGACTTTTTGGTGAACAATTAACCCGAAATCGGTTTAAGATATATTTGGGAGTTATATCCAAATCTGAACCGAACTTGACAAAATTTGATACATTTATGTCAGTGCTGTATCTGATATCTGGTATCAAAGATCATTTTATCTGGTATCATTTTATCTGGTATTATGAGGGACTTTAAACACCAAATCGGATGAAACATATATATTGTAGCTATGGCTATATCTGAATCGAATTTCTCCAAATTTGCCGTACTTGCTTCTAGACTGAATCCGGTCGGATGTACGAAAATCAAGGACTTTTGGACAGATATGGGCCATTTGGTGTACAATTAACCCGAAATCGGTTGAAGATGTATGTGGGAGCTATATCCAAATCTGAACCCAAAATTTGATACACTTATGTCAGAGCTGTATCTGATATCAGATATCAAAGATTATTGTTTTGGAATGCATATTACCCTTTTGAGGACTTTATGGGAGCTATAGCTATATCCTAACCGATTTTCACCAAATTCAATGTACTTGCTTCTAGACTAAATTCGGTGGGATGTACAAAATTCAGGTTATTTGGACTTATATTGGCCATTTGATGCTTATTTAACCCGAAATAGCTTGAAGATATATGGAAGCTATATCTAAATCCGAACCGATTATCATCAATTTCAATACGGCCAAAAAAATATTGTTGGGAAAATTTCATTTCAATCGTATAATAAATGCGATCTGCATTTTGTTCACAAGAATACATAGACAGACGGACTGACATGCATAAATCGACTCAGAAAGTAATTCTATGAAGATCCTTTAGATTAACTATAAGTCTATCTCTATCATGTCTATCATGTTACAAACAAATGCATAAAGACATAATACCCTCTCCACTATGTGATATAGGGTATACATATTTGTGGAGGATGTGGTACGAGATAGGGTAGGCCGATTTGTATCTTTCATTAGTGAAAATATTGGAATACGTGAAATTTTAAGAGAATCGGAGCATTAATTCCCGTTTTATGAGTGTTTTGTTATTTGAAATTCGAACTCCATGGTGGGGAGATACTTAAATGAGAAGTCCGATATCTAGCATGATACAACATATCTTGTCTTGGTAGAAATCTGTGGTATTTGATGAGAATGAAAATAATCAATCAGTTCTTTATTTCACATTTAATTGACGTTTCGGTTATTCAAAATGTTAACCCTTTGTGGGGGATGTACCAGAAGGAGTAGGTCGATATATTCCATCTTCACACCAGATCTTGTATTGATGGAAATACTGAGATGAACCGAATTTGAACGTATCTAATGTTAACTTCGCGTTGTAGGAGCTTCATGGCTATTCCAAATGCTAACCCTTTGTGGGTGAGGTACCACAAGGAGTGGATGGATATATATTATCTTCACACCAGACCTTGGGTTAATAAAATTTAAGAGATGTGCCAAATTTGTAGACAATTGGACTCTTGTTTCATTTTATACATACAATGATTCCAAATTCCGACCCTTTGTGGGGGACGTACTTGATGGAGTGGGCCAATATTGTCCATTTTCGCACCTGACTTAGCACTGATAAAAATATTTGGATTTGTCGAGTTTGAGCAAAATCATTTGGGCCTTTCTTTTTATGCGGTAAATTATTTATTTTGATTTTTTTTTTTTGTGGGGGATGTGCCAAAAGGAGTGGACCGATATTGCCCATATCCGAACTTGACCTAAGTTTGACAACAATGTTTGGTCCAAATCGCAGACAGATGAGCGGACAACTCTAGATCGACTCCAAATGTCCTGAAACAGATTTGGTCCAAAGGGACCTAAAAATAGTGTCCATATCAAGAACCTATAATTTAAGACGCAAATATTCGAAATGAAAGTCCTTTTAAATGTATATTTTTGGGTGCCCCAAAAAAAGTACAACGAGTGAATAAAAAAATATAAAAAATACTTTCTCAAAAATTAGGAACTACAATTTTTTCCTAACTGCACCTCAAATAGTGCAACTGGGGAAATTTTTGTTAGCAAAAATAATTTCGAGGAAGACTCAGACATTTCGTAAATCTGCGTGCTCCAATATTCCAATATTATTAAAAGTGGCACCCCGTTGCCCATTTATTTCTGAGCACTAGATGGTACCATATATTTTTTTAAAAAGCTGTGGTCTGACGAATAGATCATCGTTAAACTACATTTTAACTTGACCAAATCCGAATTGTTTTGCAAAACATGATTTTTTTAAAATATAACCCTTTATGATCCGATTAAACGCCACAATGACCCGATAGAGTCAATGTTCGAACTTCATCTAAGTTGTAATATTTAAACAAAAGTTTACACATCATTAACTGCAAAGATGGCATTTGATTTTTAAGACAACATGACACACACACATGGCCTTAGTGATTTATCACGATGTCGGTAAAAATATAAGTTAGTTTTTAAAACATAGATTTATGGAAGGAAGAAACATCAAGGCCAAGATCATAAAATATTACCTTAAAATATAAAAAGAAATTACTTAAAAAGATTGTAATAAAACATATATTTTTAACAACTCTTTTACATTTTATATAATGTAAGACTACTAACCCAGATGGGTCAACTAAGGATTTAGGTAAATAAAGTGATGTATAACATAAATACTTAAACACTAATTGTGTGTTAACTAACAATTTTTGATAAATTAAGTTCATCATTAGTTAGAACTGCATATAAATAAAAGCAAAGTTCGATTTTACTAAATCAATATATAATATCATTATTGGTAATCCTAGGACTCTCAGTAATTATAGTTTGCAGTTGTATTTTTCGGAATTTTTCCCTTTTTGCAAAGAAGATTCGACTTTTTAACCTACTTTCAATTGCGTTTTATAAATCCACAACAACATCAACTAAAACTCCATATTCCACCCAAAGCTTTGTCCAAGAATTGAATACAAACATTGTATAATTAAAAGGTGCAGCAGAGCTACCAGCTGATTATCTAAATATTTCTCTCAACAAGAAATCTGAGATGAATATTTCTGAGTGTGTCCAGTTTTTGTCACGCCTATGTTTGTATTTATTGTTTTCAAAAAACAAAAAAGAAGTTTTAAAGTCAAACGTTATAAAAAACATTTATTGCAGAACCCGCTTGTTTAAATTTAACAAGATGGAAATATGACATAATAAAAAGATTCTATCAAAGTTATGAAAAAAATATCAGCGTTTCGTTCATTTTTCTCGATTTTCGTTTATTTATTTTTTTATTGAGACACACTTCTTGCTTATCATGGTATCAGAATTGTGTTGTAATTGTTGTTACAAACTGTTTTACCTCTTATTGTACCATGGGTACAAACTATAAAGTTCATAATCAACTGCCAACAGATAGATCAACGAGTCTAGAGAAGGGTTAACCAAAATGTAAATTTTCGGCAAACATAACAAAAATATCAAATTATTGTATTTTTTATTTAATTTTATTGAATGACTAAACATTGAGCCTCGAACTTATGGTTGCAGAGCTTTATGACTGCGTTTGCACGAAATCTGCCACGTCTGTCAAATTTTTAATAATTTGACCGGGTCGTTCCGGTCTGTAACGTCTCCAAAATGATCAAAATACCGATTATAAAGAGGTACATTTATATTTACCTATTTTAACGTTAAATGGGACTAACGATATGGTAAACCGATATAGCCCATCTACCAACTAAACCTGCCTGCATATATAAGACTGATCTGTACAAAATTATTATTATTATTATTTTTGTATATATATTACTATTCGTTGATTACTTTTGTTATTTATTTAGTTTTTTTTTTTTTTAGATTAATATTGTTTTTATACTGTTGTATGTTAATATAAGATTTTGACCATGTTGGCTTATTTATATTGAATTGTATGAAATAAATGAAATGAAAATGAAATTTTATCTCCCTATGTTAATTCGTTTTGACTCTACGTGATTACAACAGAGGGTCATACGGAAGGACAGGGCTAAAACGTATTACGCTGATCAAGAATACTTT